ATCTCAGTCCTATCCTACATTTTTATGGTATGTCCCAAGTACGATCTTGGCTTCAAGGAGGAATTCAGACTTGATTTGTTCTTGGCCTATTTATTTGTCTTTTTGGCAGTCCATTGTGTTTTCAGAACTCTTTTTCAGCACCATGTTTTAAATGGGTTTTCTTCACTGTTCAGCAACTTTGGTAGCAACAGATATACAAGACTCAGACTTTCCAGCTTCTTTCATGGCTACCTTGCTGGACTGAGACCTTGGGCTAGAGCTGCACCAGGTTCTGGAAGACTGCATCTGATACAGAAATCAGGAAGTCTGATGTGGGTCCTTTCAGAACTTTTAAAAATCTTAATTAGTGTTCTTTCCAAAATCTTAATTATTGCCCTATTTTCTAATCAAATGAAGCCCCTTGATTATTTCATAGATGTACTTCAGAAAAGTAAAGATAGCATTTTAAAACCCTATCATGATTTTCTCATTTCAGTTATTATGGTAGTATAATAATAACTTTTTGTGTAATGTTATTCTCTTTCTTTTTTATCAAAGCTTGATATAGGTAAAAAGGAATTACAGAAAATCCACTTTCTCTGCTAACTGTTTTAAGACTGATTACAATACAGAGATATTTATATGATGCTTTATCTAAATTAAAGTAATTAAAGGATAAAAAACTGTGCATAGTAACATACCCTAGTGAACAGTTAGCTAACATTGACAAAGAAAATAAAAGCTTTAAGAAAATGCTAATGGATAGGAGGAGGAGAAAATTAAGATCATTAACAGCAATACACCTCATTCTGCATATGAAATATTTCTGCTGGGTTTAAAAAACTATTTATGAAAACATTTTGCCTTCAAATGATATCAATTAATTACAGCATGCAAATATGATAATGTTTCTTTCAGAAGGGGATTCTGCAGGAACCTATCTTCAGAAGAGTAAAAGGATTTAGTAGGATAAAAAAAAATCAGCATTATGAGGAGTGTGAACAACAGGAACTGATGGCTAGAGCAAGTTTTTTAAAAAAGCACTGGCAGTTTGGGAATCTATTTGGGTTTTGTATCAGGCATCAAAATGTCTTGTGTTAACACCAATGGATGCTTATCTCCCAGAATACTGATAATAGCTGGTGAACATGAAGTGAATAAGTATTAGATGTACTGATCTGCAAGTCGCTTCTGGTGTGAGAGAATTGGCCGTCTGTAAGGATGTTGCCCAGGGGACGACCGGATGATTTTTGATGTTTTTATCATCCTTGTGGGAGGCTTCCCTCATGTCCCTGCATGATGAACTGGAGCTAATAGAGGGAGCTCATCCGCCTCTCCCCGGATTCGAACCTGCGACCTGTCAGTCTTCAGTCCTGCCGGCACATGGGTTTAACCCACTGCACCACCGGGGGCTTCTGACACGACAAAAAAAAAAAAGATGTACTGATTCCACTGTTCTTGTGCAACCGGGTTCTATTCCTGTTATTACAGACCATGGTTTCAGTCTCAACAAATTGTGGGAGCCTAAAGTTGACTTTTCAAAAATTATTTTAAGATTGTTGTTAAATGCACACAACAGGACTGTAATGAATGAAGCATTACGATATATTTATGGTGTGATCTAGGACTCAGAAGCAGCTTGAAAGGAAGAAACCCTTCTTGTTAAGTTGCTATTGCTGACATGCCTCATTATAATTAAAGATTTTGGCCTCCATTAGTTATTTAAGAAACTCTGTTCTTAGTAGAAGCCAGATAAAACCACAAAGTATTCCCCAGAAAAATACCTTTGGTTACTTATGATTACAATGTCTATCAGCTCCAACCAGCAACCATATTCTAAAACACCTTAGGGAAGACTACTTTGTCATGACAAAGATTCACCACTCTGAAAGATTTGGAACAATGATACGTTAACTGAATGTGGAACTAAAGCATTTCCCATGCCCTCCAATTGTCCCAATTTGATGAGAAACTCATTATTAATCCTTTAGTTTCCTACTGTCTCAGCTACTTCTAAAATTTCCCAGTTCCTTAGAAGCATAGACTCATAGAATCATAGATTTGGAAGAGACCTTGTGGGCCATTCAGTCCAACCTCCTGCCAAGAAACAGGAAAATCGCATTCAAAGCACCCCTGACAGATGGCCCTCCGGCCTCTGTTTAAAAGCCTCCAAAGAAGGAGCCTCCACTACACTCCGGGGCAGAGAGTTCCACTGCTGAACAGCCCTCATAGTTAGGAAGTTCTTCCTCATGTTCAGGTGGAATCTCCTTTCATGTAGTTTGAAATCATTGTTCCGTGTCCTCCTTCTTTCTCCTCCTCCCATTTCCTTCCTTTGTTTTCAACATACTTCCACTACTGCAAAATGAGTTCAAGTAGTTTGCACTCCATTAATGCAGTTTGGAGAAGAATGGGTGGAAGCTTGCAATTCCCGATAGATTCACATATAAGCAAACTACTGCATCATCACCTATCTTGTATGTTCTTCCTTAGAAATAAATGCTGCTTTCTTGACCACACTCTGTTGTTGCTTGATTATCTGGTTTTCATCTGTGAAGTCAAGGAAAACATTGTTTCCTTACAATTTTGCTGGTGAAGGGAATGGTTCATCCACAATTAGGAACATGTGACCTTCCCGATTCTGGAGTATAGTTTACATAATACCTCACTACTGGCTAGGCAGATAGATGGTATCCTTGAAATGACTGGCTTGACTTTGAAGGAGCTGGGGGTGGCCAAGGTCGACAGGCAACTCTGGCATGGGCTGGTCTATGAGGTAACAAAGAATTGGAAGTGACTGAATAGATAAACAACAACAAAACTGGATAGGTTGATTGCGACTTGTAATCTAACAATATGCAGAGGGTCATGGTTTGTTCTCCCCGTACTAAACCATACCTTAGCATTACATCAAACCAAGTTAATGGTTGCTATTTGACAAGGAAGAAGAGGTATTATGGAAATGGAGGAATCTAGTTTTGCTTCTACACTTTGCTGCAACTGTGCAGCATAGGAGTAATCATTAATACTTAGTCCTCAACACATTTACTTGGAATTAAGGCCCATTGATTTAAACAGAACGTCCTCCCCAATAAGTGTGCTTAGGATCACATTATTAGCTAACATGGGCATGATTGATCACACTAGTTCACTTGATGCTAGTTAAGTGAAGAACTAGAAGGAAAAATGCATATGCATGAATCCTGCAAGCAGATATAGAAATACATATGCATAAACCCTTCAGGCACTGTGCAAGGATGGGACAAACAGGCTTGCTCTTACATAAGTTGCATCCAAAATCATACATTAAATCTGTCTGTTTTAATCTACTCACCACTGTGCAGTTCACTGTAAATCAAAGATGGTAGGTTGCCCATGAAGTAGAAAATAAAAATAATAAAGAAAAAAATCCACACACACACAAAATAAAAACATTTTCCCTGTAAGTGAGAATGACATATGATGGGAGAGTAGAAGCTGCTGCTGTCATAACAAAAGGAATATGTTATTATTTATTGGACAAACATGAGTACACGGATCTTGGATTACAATATTGGGTGACAAATGCTGTATAAGATTTTGTAAATATTGTAGGCAGATAACACAGAATTTATTCCTCAATAAATAGTCTCAAAACTCACATTTACAGAGGAGAATTGCTGTTTTCTTTTTTTCATGGTATGGAATATTAAGTATATATCACATTTGATCCATCTAAATTTTGAAAAGGTTAAAAGAGCAGCTCACTGTACAAAAGATAGAATATAATATCTGATCAATCACTCGCAATCTATATTAGAAGAGTTGCCAATCATAGGGGACTACCCTAGTGGACGATGGCAACAAATGATAAGTAGAAACCGTGCCCCAGTAAGTAAGCAGTATAAGTAACAGAAATATTTTTTAAAAAAACACAGTGAAGTTGAGCATCTTCATCCAGAATTCTGAAATCCAAAATCCTTCAAAATTCAAAATTGTCTACACGGGTAGCTGAAATAGATTGGCATTTTTGCTTCCGATGGTTCAGTGTAAACAAACATGGTTTCATGCACAACATTATTAAAAAATATAGTGTGTATAATAATTACACTTTGGCTATGTGCATATGGTGTATATGAAACATAAAATGAATATTGTGTTTAGAATTAGGTCCCATCGCTAAGATACAGGCAGTTACAAACAAGATAAGTTCTGTAGGTTTGTGATTAAGTTGAATTTGTATATAAGTTGGAGCAGGTACATTTTACATGCAACTCCAACCATATATATATAGCTTTGGATAGCATTGGTAAGGGTTAGCACCCCTATGTTGTTTGTTTTTGCTATCTGTGCCCCTGTTCAGAAGATTTCACCTCACTTTCTGTCCCTGTGAAACAAGGATTGATGATAAAGTTTTAGTGGAACCAACTTTCCCCCTGATAACTCATCAGGAGTGAATTGCCCTTCCTAGGGATAGATTTATCTCACTTTCTGTCATCTCACCCCCGTTCTTAACTATGAGTCATATGTAAGGCATATGTTTGTAACTTGGAGACAGTCTGTATATCATTAAGTACGCAGTTCAACCCCCTCCAAGAAGCAGGAAAATCACATTCAAAGCAAGATTTAGATTTATTTGATTACCCCACTCCACAATTTATTCTATTGGTCTGTTTTAGAGTTGACCAATATTACTGCAGCCAGTATGTGTGGCAGGATGGGTCAATGGATCATTTACATATAAGGTGGCTTATTGCATGCATATTGCAAGACCTCAGAAACAGGTCATGTATTTCAGACCCAGAATCTGACACAATTTCAGCTGTGCTTTTTGAATATAAACAGAAACCTTTGCTTTTCAGACAGCCCTTCAAAAATATTATACACCCTTTAAATCATTTCTAAAAATATACTAATTCTCAAATTATTTTACAGATCTCCAAGGAAAAGCATTTTGATTTGGCACTACTGGTCACATGCTTTTTTTGACTCCCTCCTTTGCCCCTTACACATAATTGCGGCAGGATGAATTGCAAGGAGACATCTTTGGTCAGGACCGTTCTTTGCATCACAAAGTTTTGTCAAGTGTCCAAGTTGGTAACACTTCCAGTAGGAAGAATATTTTTAAAAAATCATTTTAGCACGAACTTGGCTGATTCTGGCTGAGAGTCAAATCTGGCACTCCACAGCAGAAGAGAGGAAAAAGAAAGGAGTGCCTTGCTCATCTTTCAGTGTTGTCAGTGCAAGGGAATGCTGGACATTACACAACTCTGGAGTCTGCAGGAAGGATTGAACAATAGCTTTTGAACATCATTATCTTCACCTCCTTTGCTTGGAATATACCGGGAACCTTGTGGCAATGGGTGAACTAGCTCGACTCTGAGAAGATGAAAATCAATTAGAAGAAGACAGGATAACCTAGTATTCCCCCTCTAACAATCTGTGGAAGTAAGCTACAACAAGCAATCCACTTTAATACTCAGCAGGCTCATGAACACATAATACTCCCAGGTACTGTAATCTTCAATATTTTTTTGCAGGGAATGATTCTGGGCTCGATTGTTCTCATTGGCAAAGAGTTAGATGGCTGTGGGTTGCAGTAAGGGAAATTTTAAATACACCATTGCTTTATTGTTTGTGATCACTTTTATAGTTTGCTTTGTTGCTGTTTAGAATAGATTGGATAGATTTGGACCTACATATTATCCAAGCGCAGCATACCTATGTGATACAATTTCCACATAAGCATCATTAATCCATCTTCAACATAAAATTGATCGCTGTGCCATCAAAGAACACATGTAATATTAATAAAGCAGCATGAAAAGGCATATTAGTCTAACGTAAAAGATTTTCCAGCATATATGAGCTTTAAAAATAGGATGGATGCTCATTACTTAGCATGACATAAACAGCTCATTATGTAGTTAGTGATAATGGGTACAGTTCATCCAAAGTAAAGCACTTTGGGCTGTAATCCTGCCTTCACTTACTTAAGAGTAAATAACTCATTATAATGGAACTTTCTTCTGCAATCCTAAACAATTATTCCTGTGGAGGATACTAAAGGCACTTATTACTACACTGCATGCTACAAAAATTACAATAGATAATATTAAATATTATTTATACGTTTATTGTATTTATTAAATGGTTCATCAAACTAGTTTTCTACATGTTGTGCAAGAATTTAAAAAACACACAACAACCAAAGTTATAAAATAGTGCAGGTTTAAACTCAGTAAAACATACCAGTAGAAAATATGAAGCTTTAAAAAAGTCATCAAGAACTAAAGCTTAGATTAAAATAATAGCTCTAACATAACTAAAATGTTCTAAATGCCTCGGAGAAGGAAATCATGTCCTTAACTTCCTTATTGAAATAATTGTGATATAGAAATGTTTTAAATTTACATAGTGTTTCTCCTTAAAATTCATTTTTCCTCGAAAACCTTCCATTTGCTGATGTTTCCTTACTTTCTGCCACCATAGATGTCAGAAGCAGAGACTGATAAACAAAAAATTAGAACAACACAGAGTTTTGAAAATGATCAGCAAAATACTTCAACACTGTTGAAAGAAGGTGAGTACAATGCTTTACTACTGAAATAAGTATTTATTTCTAAATATCTTAGAAATATAAGATCATCACTTTATAGGAATTGTAAGTACTTCTTGCTTATTCTTGAAACACTCAGAATCCAATCAGGTTTTTTTTTCTGATTTAAAATTAGAAACGTTTAAAGTATTATTATTATTATTAACTTTATTTATACCCTCCTTTCTCCCTATGGGAACTCAAAGCAGCAAACAATCCCATATTTAGATCATAGTTTTAAAAGTGCAATACAAAAATTGAAAAGCAATTAAATAATACAGTGTGGATTAAGGTAAAAACAGAGTAAAATATACAGTAATAAACACACTTAAAATAGCCTTCAAAACTCACAATCCCCACCCACACTTCCCCAGCAGCCTGACCCTTATTATTCTTCCCCAAATGCCTAATAGCACATAAATAACTTTACAGTGTTCCCTCACTTACCATGGACTCACTGTTTCGCGGTTTTTAAACTATATATATATATATATAAAACGCAGCGAGGGAACACTGTATTGAGGAGGGAAGAAGCCACCCCCTTGCCCTCTATACCTCCCTCTTCCACCTCGCCATTGCCGCCTGGGCCTCTTGCTGTTGCTAGGTAGCAAGAAGCCCCAGTGGTGACGAGGAAGAGGAAGGTAAAAAGGGTGAGGGGGCTCTTCTTCCCTCCTCGCCCTCTTTACCTTCCTCTTCCTCCTCCTCGCTGCCGCTGGGGCCCCGCAAAACCTCCTCTGCTACCTCAATCACAGGACCAAGTGGCAGCAAGAGGCCCAGGTGGCAATGAGGAGGAAGAGAAAGGGAAACAGGGCAAGGAGGGAAGGTGAGGGGGCATCCCTACTTTGCAGTTTTTCCCTTATCATGGGTGGTCCTGGAATGTAACCTCTGTGATAAGTGAGGGAACACTGTACCCTTGCAGAAGGCCAACAGGGATGGGGCCATCCTGGTCTCTCTTGAAAGAGAGTTCCACAGTTTGGAAGCAACTGCTGGAAAGGCTCTCTGCCGTATTCCCACCAAATGTACTAGAGTGGGTCATGGGAGAGGCCCTCCCCAGTAGAACATAGCTGTCTCCCAGGTTCACAGCAAGTAATATGCTCCTTCAGATAACCTGTACCAGAAACTTATAGGGCTTTTTAAGTCTAAACCAGCACTTTGAATTGTGTCTGGAAATGTGTTGGTAGCCAGAGGAATTGTACACTCCCTGTAGCCAGCCACAGTTAGCAGTCTGGCCGCTGCTCTTTGGATCAACTGAAGTTTCTGAGCACTTTTCAAAATCAGCCCCATGTAGAGCGCATTACAGTAGTCCAACTGGGATGTAACAAAGGCATGAACCACCTTGGCCAGATCTGACTTCTCCAGGAATGGGTGCAGTTGGCGTACTAACTTTAACTGTGCAAAAGCACTCTTGGCCACTGCTGATACCTGGGCCTCTGGATTTATAGCTGAATCCAGGAATATTCCCAAACCATGAACCAACATTTTTAAAAATGTTGATCCATCTAACACAGGCTGACTCCCTATTCCCAGATCTGTGTTATGACTGACCAGAGGCACCTCTGTCTTATCGGGATTAAGTTTCCATTTGTTTGCTCTCATCCAGTACATTAGGCCTTGTTTCTGAGACTTGTTATATATAATTAGTCAAAGGTATTTCCAATTCACCCAAATAAAAATTTGAAGAGCCCAAAGAATATAATGGTCACACTAAAATGGCACGACCCATACAAGATTATGCCATGCAGATGAGAGTAATTTATGTGTGTATTGAAATTAAAATTTTCAGAAGATGGTAAAAATTCTGCAGGCATGTAATTATGTAATTCAGTCTGTTGCAGCACAAATTAATTTGAAAATATTAGAAGCTAGTAAAAGGAAGGCATGTCTTGACATTAGACATATGAGATGTTTCAACACATCTTCCATCTCATATGATGACTGATGTATGGTAATAACAATACATCATGTGTTAGTTTTTAACCTGTGGCAGCTTAAAAACTAACACATCGCATTGTAGTCTGAGAGAATGACATGATAATGTTTTTGCTAGCAACCGTGGAAGTATACTAAGGTGTTATGAGGATGCAGCATCATATACCCCGCAATTAGTCGCCCTTGGGGGCTAAGAATTGCGGTATATAAGCGCAGTAAATAAATATACCAAGTTACATAAATAGCTATATTGACATGAGTTCTATAAATGTGTTCTTTAAATATATATGAGTTGGGGAGCTCCCTAGTTCCACCCTTTCACTTACAGTTTTATCATTCCCTTACTTGCAGATGGCAGTTGGCTCAAAATAGAGGTCCTTTGAAATCAGTAGGTACTTTCTACATAGGTCAGGGCCCTGGGGAAGCAGGATTCCAAATTGACTGGAAAGTATCCATACATTTCTATTGGTTGGGTAACTATGCCTTCATTATACAATTCAGAGAAAATTCAATACGGTGGCTCCTTTTTTCCAGCAGTATCTCCATGTCATGTATAACATGTATTTCTAGATTCTAAATAGACAATATCAAATACAATTTACATTAATTGCATTTTGAATCACTTGTACATGTGAAGGTAGGGATAGGACTGCAAGATTTGGGGCTCTGGTTGATGTACAGAGTGGCTATAAGGCAGATGGGCAAAATTTCCCACCTCCATACTTTGCTAATAATCTTTAACTTTATATTTTTCCCCTTTTGACATAAATTTTAAAAAATCCTGTTTGGGTCTCTCAGCAAAAGAGTGAGCTGCATAGTAGAACCTGATCCTGTTGGCTAAGAAAGCTAGCAAGCTGTATTTTCTTTTGGCATCCAGTTTTAAAGGAAAGTTATTTTTATTCATGGTTTTTTATTGATTATTTGTGTCTTATAAAAGAAACAACCACATAGTGGAAGAAATATGCTGAGGAGATGTCAGAGAGTATCTCTCTTTATTTAGTGCCAAACATACTGAGACCTTTGCAAAATAATACGTTATGTACTTCTAGCACAATTGTTGTGTGCACTAGTAAGAGGCTGTGATTTCCATAATGTATCCATTAAGTGTTTATTGGCTAAAAATGTCACAGCCTTCTTAATTTGCAGTGGAAAAGCTGACCTAAACACTAGAGATATTAACTGGGGATATTTGAGGATGTCATTTGATATTTGATTCCATTACTGTCAAACCATGGAAGGACAGGATAGGACCAACCACAGATGTAGAACAAATTCCAGACAAGGTTAAGCCCCTTGAAGTCCCATTGATTTCAAATGGTGGGAGTTGATCAAAAGCTACTTTTGCTAGAAGGGAATATTTGAACTGAGAGAAATGATGGGGATTTCTGTATTTATAATTCAGTTTGTCAGTTAACAAAACAAATATTAAATGAAGGAGAGAAAGATTCAGCAGTCTATGTGTGAATGTTATTCATGCAGTCTTCCAGAGATAAGCAACATGGGGCTCTTTCACACTGTACCGTTATAGTGCTATGTTACCACTTTAACGGTCATGATACCATCCTATGGAACCCTGGGTCTGGCAATTTAGGGATATTTAGAAGTCTCAGAGTTCTCCAGTGCTCCCAGACTACCATAGTCAATGTGTAAGTTGAGGCCAGGTTATAGGGCTAAAAATACCAATTTTATATCACCTGTGGATACGTTGAGGGCTATTCTACAGATGTGTGGAAAGAAAATGCCCATAAATCATGTACTGCAAGAGTTTGCCTTCCCCAATTCTTCTAAAATTTGATAGCTTTAATATACTCAGGAACTGAAGTTTTCTCTTTTGTAGTAAGTCTATACTATTCTCTAATTTCAATTTTATTCCAATTCACTAGTGTTGCCTCAAAGGGGAAGGGGGCAGAGGTAGTGCCATAAGTAGTTATGAGGTAGAGAGAGAACATGGACCAAGGGTTCTTTTAGGTTCTTCCAAGAGTATGTGTTTTGAAACCTACTCTTTTTGGATTGTATGTATTTTCACTGGAGTCTCTTACTGTTATGACCTTTGCCACTTGGTTCAGAGAAAGAGGTTGTCCTTCTTTGTAAGAATTAAGGTACAGTACTTACATTGACCCATGGATAAGTCTATGCAGATTTTTAAAATTGATTTTCACCCTAACTCTAACCCTAAACTTATACAATATATATAGGATACCAGTTTTAGGATCTCTTCTGGCAGTGGCTGGTCATTTGCGTAAATGTGGAATATTGATTGAGCAAGCACGTTCCCCTGAGGCAGGCCATTCTTCTGTTTCCGCCATCTGCTTATTTGGGCCTGGAACTCAACAAAAAGCTCCTGTTTTGTAGCAGGTTTCCTATGAGGCGATAGGTGGTAGTCCTTTGTGATATTATACATTTTTCTCAGGAGGAAAAATGTATAACCACTACAGCCACTGCCAGAAGGGACAGAGAGTTTCATTTATGCTGATTATCATGCCATCACTGCTCAAGCAGGGAGCTTTGAGATGCTTGAACAGAACCTCTCTGAAGCTCTAGGTGCTCTTACTGCCTATTACAGGGAAAACCAGCTGATCCCTAATCCATCTAAAACACAGACATGTGCTTTTCACCTTAAGAACAGACAAGCATCCTGAGCTCTGAGGATTACCTGGGAAAGAATCCCACAGGAGCATTGCAGCACACCCAAAAATCTGGGAGTCATTCTGGACTATGCCCTGACCTACAAGAAGCACTGCCTGAATATCAAGCAAAAAGTGGGTGCTGGAAACATCATATGAAAGCTGACTGGCACAACCTGGGGATCACAACCAGATACAGTGAAGACATCTGCCCTTGTGCTATGCTACTCCGCTTCTGAGTATGCATGCCCAGTGTGGAACCCATCTCACCACTCTAAAATGGTAGATGTGGCTCTTAATGAAACATGCCACATTATCACGGGGTGTCTGCGCCCTACACCACTGGAGAAATTACACTATTTAGCCGGTATTGCACCACCTGACATCTGCCGGGAAGTAGCAACCAATAGTGAAAGGACCAAGGCAGAGACA